TGGTTTTGTTTTCCCTAAACGCATCATGGACTTAAATAAACCAGAAACATCCGAAAATTGACAGCTCTGAGTCTTGCATCATGACTAAAAGGATTAAAAAGTATTTCTGCAGCTTTTAAAATAAAAGCAATTATTCAAGAGCAGTCCTAGAGGTTTTTCATCCAACCAAGACTTGTCCTACATGGTTCCATGAAAAGATCAAGCTCATGGGAAAACCCCACCCCAATAACTGAGCTTAAGCAGGAAAGACAAATAATAAAATGCTGACCTTGAAGCAGCTTTTACAGCTCATTGGAGTCAGTGGTGATCTGGATGATGTCTGACCACTGCTGGTGGAATTCTGTGGCTGTAGTGAAACTCTGGAAATCAGTTTGGCTACCTCAGCCTGAGGGAAAACCCAGCTGAGCAGTGCCAGGAGAGCTCATGCCATTCATTAACCTCACAACAAATCCTGAACTGCACCCTGGATGACATCCGAGTGCTCCTCACCCAGCTCTAGAAGGCAGCAGAGGCATTCCCACAGCCCAGCCAAAGCAGAAAAGGGAGACAGAGCCAGAAGAAAGGGCCAGCAGGAGCAGTGCAGCAGCTGGAACAAATGGGGAGCACAGGGGGGCACGGATGAAGGCGGGGGGACACCTCAGCTCCCAGCCCAGCAGGTCTGGATAGATGCCGCGGCACAGCCATGGATCCAGGCCCAGCAGCTTGGGAGGTGCCGCTGCTCTGGGGCACCTCTGGCAAAGCACACGGAGCCTCTGGCACACAGAGGGAGTTTGCCTTTCCCTGAGCCCCTCATTTTCAGTAGTTCTGGTCTCAACACCCATTTCTGCTGTGCCTTCTGGACAGCAGGGAGGTGGAACCTTCCCAAAGGGGTCCTCTGCCCCTTCTCCTGGCAGAGGGAACGCTGACCCTCCGAGCAAGACTCCAAGCAAGACCGAGTTCATCAACTGCTTCCAGAAAACCAAATGGGCTTTGAACCTCTTGGTGAGACATGGAGGAGTTTCCATCCCATGCAGGGACAGAGCTTTTTCCAGTGCATCCCAGCAGTGAGTGTTCAGAGGGAAATTAGAACAGAAAACACTGCCAAGGGACAAAGGTGTGAATTCCAGGTTCTTCAGAACCCAGGACAAACACTGTGTCAGGTTTGTGCAGGTTTCCTGGGACAAGCTGTTAAACCAAAACTAGAAATATCCAGTCCAGGATGGGACAGAGCATCAGAGGGTTGCAATGCCTGGATCTTTTCAGATCTAGGCTTGGGAAGTCTCGGCTTGACAGCAGCTGAAGTCCCTCATTGCCCCAGTATTCCTGGCTCCTCTCTTTCTCCATTGCCAGACCCTCTGGATTGTGGAGGGAGTGAAAAGCAAAAGATATTCCCAGTGCTGCCAGCTCTGCTCAATGAAACATGAGAGACCAGGAGGGGAAGGAGCCAGCAGGAATTCTGTCAGTTGTGACCAAACTTGTCCAGCAAACACATCCTCCAAGTTCCTTCCTGGGCAGTCATTAATAAGGAAACCCCAGAGGTTGTAAACAACCTTAATGCAGGACACCAAGCTCAGCCTTTTCCTTGAGAAGCAAATAGGGATAATTTGTGCCTGCTCAGGATCAGAAGGAGCAGCTGATCGGGCAAGAGCCCAGGGCTGAGGGTGGAGCAGAGCTGGGACTCCATGGTGGAGCCCTGCCATGTTCCTCCCCACGTGGCTGCCGAGTCCCTGGCAAGTGCCCGTTCAGTGGGTCACCCTGCTGCCAGCAGTTGTTTCCCACTTCCCACTCTACACTAATGTTTCATCTCTGACATTTCCAATGCTTTGCATTTCAGTAGGAGTGGGGAGCCTGTCTCCCAGTGCCAGGAGCCCAGGACAGGAGGAGGAGCTGCATGGAAGCACAAACTGGAGAGGTTTCTCACCACAGCTGTGCTGATCACTGCTGCCACAACCCAGTCCTTGCAGTAAATCAATTCCAAGTGTTTGCTCCTCCATTCCACCACAGCTCACATCAAATACCAGTGGATTTGGAGCCTTTCAGTGGCCAGGGCAGCTCCAGGTGCCACAGACAAGACCTTTCTGGCAACTTTTCCTTGTCAGAAATTTGCCAAGGGACCCTCAAAACACCAATCCTGTTGTTTTCATTTGTGGAACCAGTGGGATTCTCAACGCTGCAAGAGGCAAAAGCAACCTTAACCCTGGCCTCTCCTCACTAGGACTTCCAAAAGAAGGCAAGGTTTGTGTGTCTGTTCAAATCACCTTCAAAGGCACTGATTTAACAGAGAGGGGATTCCACCCCTCCTGAAATTCATCCAGAATTAGAAATGGACACAAAATAAAAAGGAATTATTCCTATGCCCTACACCACATTCTCGTCTCATCAGTCTGCAACACTCCTCCCGTGTGACAGAAAAGAGAAAGCACACTCAAGGTAGGGTTAAACCGTGTTTCCTTCCTTTTTCCAGGCCAAACTAAGGAAGCATATCCAGAATCCCCACTCTTTGGAGTTGGTGCATTTCCTATTTGGGCCAGAGGAACTGGGAAATCTTATTCCCAGGTCTCATGAGGAGAAGCAGCTTGAAGTGAACACAGAAACCCCAGCAAATCTGAATCTTTCCACCCAATCAATAAAGCCTTACTGTGAATATCAAAACCTGGGCCTCCAGACCTTTTTTAGCAGGATTTGTTAATTTCCTAATATTATCTCTTCCCAACAAAGCACTGGGCATCCAAGGAATATAGAAAGGGGTGTGCCAACCACTGGTTACCTCTCTGGAATGTCAGAGCTTGGAAAGAAGGGCAGCTGGGGCTTTTCCTGTTGGTACCCATGAGCTCCTTCCCACGTCTCCCCCTGTATCCACCAAAAATCCCCAGCTGTATCCACCAGTTCATTCCTCCTGCTTCCTCCCTCTTTTCCTTTACCCAACAGAATTTCAACAAGTGAATATTCCCCTCTGGAATAGCACCTTTCATTCCAAACCTAATAGCAAACAAATCATTTCCTCTGACCTTCACTATTAGGATTTCACCAAGAGCTGGTGGATGGAAAATTATCCTCTCCTGGCCCCTGCTGGATTCTTGGAGCAGGGATTCTTTCCCTCCTTCCCCTGCCCCATTTCAGGCTTTGTTCTGCAGCTTTTGCTTCTAATCCTTGGATCCTTTCCTCTCTCCAGGAGCTCCCCAGCAGTTGCACATCCTCTTTTCTCCCATCCTGATAATTTCTCCAGGAATGGATCTGTGCATTTCAATTCCATTTTCTTTCCTCCAACAGTTCCCACCATCCAGACCTAAAGCTGACACAAGGAGCGCTTGGTGCCCACAAATCCGAACCCAGACCTTGCCATCCCTAAACCAGCAACTCCAAACACACAATCCTGGAAAATTTGTATTAATTCAAACCTAACATTCAGGCCCCACAGCTCAGGCTGCAGCACAAAGTCAATGCAACAAGTGATCCACAGGAGCCATGGGATGTTCTGCTCCTCCTGCAATGGCATTTATGGCTAAGCAGGTCAGAACAAGGCCTGAGCAGACAAGACTGGAGAATCAACACCAAGCAACGACCCCTGTGCTTGACAGAGGTGTGGAACATCCCAGTCCAGGCCCTGGGCTTTTATGTGCTTGCTTCTACTGCAGTGAACCTGGCATGGGAAGTGGTAAATCACAAACCCTACAAGGAGACACTTCTTCAAGCAGAAATAAAATCCAGCTGCCGCAAAGCCCATGGCCACATTTAGAAACCCTTCAGAAAAAAAAAAAAACCAAAAACTTGGAAAAGCAAAGGTGGTATGGTTACCTGGAGCTCCAGGGGACTGAGGGGAAGGTAGGCAAGAAGCAGCCAGCAAACAGCTGCCACTGCTTCCCCCTCCAACCACTGCAGCAAAAGCAGCTTCCCTGCAGTTTCACACTCAGCATCTCTACCAAGCTCAACAGGCCACCAAAAGGCACTCCAAGATTTACTTCAGACTTTTTCAGTGCTGCGCTTGCCATGATCCTTTGGGCACAAGGAACCTTCCAGATGTTCCCACACCTTCACTGGCTCATTTTGGCACAGCTGGAAAAGTTCACTGTCCCTTCCAAAAGGATCTTTCTGACGCCAGAACATCCCCAGCTTTGCTTTCCCCTTAAATGTTCTGTTCCCTGCACAGCCAAGGCCCTTCCAGTGCTTGGCAAGTGCCAGCTGAGTAATCCAAGCCCAGAGCCTGCCTGAGAGGGAGGAATGTGTGTGCTACAGGAAGAGCATCCCAAACCTGTCACTGCCAGCCCTCCCTTCTCACCATGGCTCCAATGGCACCAGAACTGTCCCTGCAGGCAGAAATCCCCTTCAGGAACAGCATGAGCTGTCTTCAATGTACCACTGGGCTGAAAGAACAGACCAGCAGCTCACAGGGAGATCAGGGGCACCTGCTGAGCCAAGCCAACAGGAGCTGTGAGAAAGGCACGGAGGCAGTACCTCACCAAAACTACATTAAATGCCAACACATCAGGAGTCACTCCAGTGTTGACTTCCTAAAGCAAAAACAAAAAAATATTTTAATTTTTAGATTATGAAAAATGCATTTTATATGATTGGATCTTCTCAAATATTAAAATTAATACTATATATGTTATGTTGGAAAGTTATGCTGTATTAATCTCTTTTAAGTAGTGTGGTAAATATAGCTTTTAGGCTATGGCATAATATAAAGTAGAAACTATGTGATGTAAGATACTTTTTGTAACTAGCTCAAGGAATGGATACGATAATCAAGAAATTCTTCACATAGAGATAACAGCAAGAAGACACCAAGATCCCAAGAGAAGAATTACTGCCTCCTTATTGGGATAGCGCAGACTTTGAGGGACCAAGACGATTGATTTACAAGATGAGGGGGGGAGTTGACAATAACCAGAAAACACCCTTTGTTTGAAAGGAATTTCTGCATCATGCATGAGATATACGAATATGCAATGGGCTATTGCTTTTAAAGGTTAATCCTTCCTTAGCAAAATGTGTTCGGAACAGAGCAGAATACCCACGTCTGTAATCCTTTGCTTTTTTATTGTCCTTTATTGTCCTAACTCTGATTGTCCAAATTCTTATTGCTCTAATTTTCATTACAATTTTTATAAACATTTTATTATTATTAAACTTTAAAAATTTTAAAACAAGTGATTGGCGTTTTTCACAAGATGCTTGGGAGAAGTCCGTGCCATGTTAACCCATTTCTCTGCCTTGTTTCCAGACTGCTGATGTTCACTTCCCAGCTCTCACCCGGCTGCCAGCGCTATGGCTGGCTCCACACAGACACACGAGGCTGCTGCCAGCTGCCATTTCAGCAGCTCCCGGGGACATGAGCACTCCCCACACCTCCCACCTCCCTAGCCCGAATCCACCCAGCACTGCCAGGGAGCTACTGGCAGTGGGAATTCTCCCTGCTGGCCCTGCCTGGCAAACCTTGTCTCCAGCTCCGGCTGCCACCTCGCACCTCCTGCGAAAGAGGAGCTGCATCCTGCTGCCTACTCCCGGCGCCGCTGGCCCCACAGCCCATGTCCCCACACCGGGAAACGCCGTGAAAAGCAGGAAGCGCGGAATCGGCGTTGGAGTCGGGTTCAGGCAATCGAACAGACGTCTTTGAGAAGAGCGGGCTCCTTCCAGGATGCGACTTCTTCCCCTACCCAAGGCTCATGAGCAAGATACCGCCATCTTTGGAAGGTCAAATAAACCCAGTGCCGACCCTCCACCTTCGGTGTGTCATCACGTGACTGCCGGCACATTGGCTACTGGCAGGTCACTGTCGGATGAGACACCATCTTTAGTGTGCCGTCACGTGATCAACTTTTTTTTTTTGCTATCTTTTGTACTGGCGGAAGTAACTCCCGGGTGAGACGCCATTTTTGGTGTGGCATCACGTCACCGCCTCACTTCGTCACCATCTTAGGTGCTGGCAGAAGCAGCTTTCTGCTGGGCCGCCATCTTTGGTATGGTACCAGTAAGGCCCTCGCTCCTTACAAAGGTGTCTACTCGGCTGCCTGACGCCGACCCCTCTGCGATGCCGACCCGGCCGCGGTGTCCGTCCTGGCCCCGCCCCTGCCCGCCATCGTGCCTCCCGTAGTGACGCACAGATCGTCGCTGTGGAAAGGATTGCACAGCCCGGCAATAGCTTCAGAAAGAACCATTAAATTCAAGGGAAAGGCCATTTTCAAGAGAGGTGTTGGAGGGGCGAAGGCAGCGTGTGCGGTTCTGAGCTGAGCTGCTCACGCCAAGCTTCTGCCTGGGCTCTGATCTGCAGTTGCCCAGCTCAGACCAAGGGTCCCCGCAGATCTCTGGTGGTGCTCGGAGCTCGCCCTTGTCTGTCCTGACCAAGCAGGGAGGTGACGGGGGCTCTGCCAGTCTCCCTTTTTGTTCTGCAGTGCAGGCACACACACGTTCAGTGCAGCTCTGTGTGAGGTCTCTGTGCTATTCGAGTCGTTGGTAAAGATGTGGGTTGTGGTCAGCGTGAGCGGCTGGGGAAGAGATTTCTGAGGTGAAATTTAGCTACTACACTTGTTTGTGACTATCCTCTAAATCACCACTTGCAAAGCCCTTTGCCAACACACTCATCCCGTTCCTTTGCCCCCTCACAGAGCCAGCAGCTGGCTGGCATCCAGTCTCTTTAAAATGGTAAATAAACAAAGGTCCGGGAGCAAGCCAGTGTGACTCTGATCATGCATTTCAGGGCTCTGGAGAGCTAATTGTCTTCATCAGGTCCTTCCAGCTACGCCTTACACTCTGCTAGAGCAACACCACCTCCTGTGCACTTGTCTTATGTCACCTTAACCCCTCAGATGACACCGGGAGCATTGGCAGGAGCAGGGACACAAAGCAGCAGGCAGGGAACAGGATCATCATCACCTTTTTTCCCAGTTTCATGTCTTTCATCTCTAGCCTGGAATCAGCTTTTTCATATATTGCAGCCAGCCAGGTACTCAGCATTAATTCGCTCAGAAGTTTTTCCTGTTTTGCAACACACAAGTCCTTGTGGCAGTCCTTTAAATCCTTCCATCTGGAAGGACCCAAATTTGTTTATGAACAGTAATTCTTGGGTACCTCAAGTCTGAAACACATCCTCTGTGTCGTAGAGTGAATTCAATCCAACAATTCCCAGATCAATGCCAAACTCTGGGTTATTTTTGGATGAATTTTTCTTCATTTCCCACAATGGAGCAGATGTATGTAGACCACCATACACCCACATAACATATCCAAATGGATCCTTTGAAAAGTTTTGAAGTATTTTGTTAATTTATTTAGCTTAAAATTCTTGACTAGTGTGATCTCAGTTCACAGATTTCTCTAATAAATTGTCCACTGGTGGTTTTTTCCCCAGGCTCACCTTGGTGTTTCTCAGAAAGGGCTGGAAGGTGCTTGCAGAACACCACGGAAATCAAGGAACAGTGACAGTAACCGTCAGTTTCTCTGCCAGTAACTTTGTTACCTTGTCCCACATCACCTCCCATGGCTTTAATGGGAAATATTTTTTATCCTTTACCCACCCCTTATGTCTTACTCTGAAGCATTCTGCTTGGTGAAGCAGCATTTTGCATTTGACTGCTGGACCCTGCAGATACTTAATCTAGAAACCACTTTGATTCATTTTAGATTAAAGAATTCACAATACTTCCCATTAAAGTTAGTGTTAGGTTTGGGTTTTTCCCCCTTAATGAAAGTCTTCAACAACCAACCTTTAAACAACTCAGTCGATTTTGTAAAACTGCCTCCATTTCCATATTAAAGATGTTCTTTGAGAAGCAGCTCCTGACAATATAAAATGTAATATATATTACACACTATACTGTTTGCTGTAAAGGAAAAGAAAAAGAATTCAGCATTAGTTTTTGTATTAGTATATTATATATATATTATATATATTATATCTACAAATATTTGTACATTATTTGAAAAAAAAATCCGCACATGAAATTATTCTGAAATGCTGTGTTAAAATGTTAGTTTTTACAATTGTTGAAACAGAACCGTACTTCTTTATTGAAAAGGATTTTTTGTTTGTTTTTCCCCAAGAAATGCAATTACAGAAATTGATTTGTATCTGCAAAATATTTATGTTTTGATAAACACCACATTTTGTAATTGCAAAATCTGGTAGTTCAATCTGTCTTTGCACTACCTTATGGGATCAGTGTGTCCTGCTCCAGACCTGCAGGCACTTTGCATATCCCCTGCCATGTAAAACCTTCCTAATCCTGTTTTTCCCCTCAGATTTCTCAGCAGAGCCTGAGGCCCATGAAAAGACACCTTATGAATTGAAAAAGTTATTCATATCCATAAATCACCAAATAAACTATACCTATGGGATCCAGAAATCTTATGGGATGCTTTTGTCAGTTCTCAGCACTCCAAATTCACTGGGGTTGGTTTAATCCTCACAGGATCCTGGAGAAAGAAGGGAATGAATAATTCTGCATCCAGTCTGAGGGCTACATGATATGTTGAATAATTGCACATCAAGTGAGGAGGATCAAAGGGACTATTGCAAACCAGCTCATTTGCTGGAAAAAAGGCAGCATCCTATGAGAGGAGAAATTTGTGATCATCAATTAAGAAATATGTAATTATCCCTACACTTAAGGGGTCTGAGCTTCCAGTTTACTTAGGAAGGAAGTCAGCCTCACCTAGATCCATAGGAAAGGTATGGAGCAACTAATCCTGGATTTTCAGACACATGAAGGACAAGCCAATCTCAACCAGTCTGAGGTTCTGTATTGCTCTAAGTTCTATAAAATAGTCATTTACAACAAGTTGATTGGAAATATTCAGAAAATGTAGACAGGCAGAAATTACTTAGTCCATGCAAAAGTTTTTGTTACCTAAGTTGGTGGATTGATTTCTTCCAATGTAATTCAAACGACTTTGAATACTGAAGCAGAGGAAATGTATTATAAATTGGCAGCTAGAAAAGGAAAAATAAAGTTACTCTATAGGGTTTTTTTCATATTAAAATAAAAAACCCATGGGAAAAAATTGCAAATTTTCTGTCACAGTATATTTCACAGCTTGTATACTGTAGTTTTTTTGTTGAATGGATTTTTCAGTAAACTCTAAAATTAACTTGAGGAAGAAAAAAATCAACTAACAACTTCACTGAAAATTTGATGTATCAATACACATTGTGCCTTGATTATACATTTTCCATAACATAATTAAACTATCCTCTTGAAATTTATTCCAATGAGCACCTTTTTAGAAATTTTCATCTATCCTGAAAAGTGAAAAAGGAAACAGAGTAACATATTCTTAAAGTCATATAATGAACACAACATTGAGGATTAAAAGCTATGGGATAAAAAAATATTTTTTGTCTCTTATGTGTACACAGGGATTCAGTGAGAACTGTAATCGCAGCTGGCTTTGCTGTCTCAGCCATGTTCAGCAAAGGAAGCTCTCCAAAGACCTCTTCAGCTGCAAGAACCGTCAAAGCATCGTTGAGAAGTGGAGATCAGGAGGGCAGATAAAGGAAAAAACAAACAGGACAGAGAAGTAAGGAAAAACTTTGTGTATAGAAACACTTTATTTCCTTGCCTGTGGAGGATGTGGAGAAGGCCATGTCCCTGATGCTCCAGTTCATGCATCCACCTGGGTGAAAACGATGGATATAAGCAGAAAGTGATATGGGGAGAATGTGGAATAAAGATGGGGTGCTGGTGAGTGCAAAACTGCAAAAGTGAGTAGAAACAGCACCAAAGCTACACTCGTGGAGGCTGTAAAAAAACTGGGAGAAGGACGGGGAAAAGGAAGAAGACACAGGCAGGAAGCCGAGAGACAGATATAGGCAGTGGCAGCGAAATGAGGCAGGAGCGGGACAGCAGGGGTGAAAACTAAATGCCCTAGGAGGGTGGGAACTAGAGGACAGCCGCAGGAATGAAAGTGCCGACGGGAGAAAAGTGGGAAGAAATAGGAGTGACCGCGGCAATGCAGACACCCCGCAGCCCCTCAGCAGCACGCTCCTAGCTCGCACGGAACACCCGCACCCCAAGCCCCCCTCAGGCGGACCCGCCCGCCTGCGCGCCCCCGCGCAATCTCCCTCCAGCGCCGCGCCCGCGCAGCGCTCCGAGCGGGACGGCCTCAGGGACCGTGCACACAGACACACGGACACACTCACCTATGTGCACGTGTGGCCACGGACAGGCACGGACAAGCGGCCGGAGAGCGCCCACCCATGCCGTGCAATGCTATGTCCCCGAATCAGGGAATACGCCCTGCGCTGGAAGAGACCCACAAGGATCATCCAGTTCCCGGCTCTGCGCGAGACCGTTCCCAATAATCCCACCCTGTGCATCCCTGAGAGCGCTGTCCAAACGCTCCTAGAGCTCTAGCAGCCTTGGGGCCGTGACCATTCTCTGGGGAGCCTGTACAGTGCCCCAGCACCCTCTGGGGAAGAACCTTTCCGTGATATCCAACCTAAACTTCCCCTGACGCAGCTCCAGCCGTTCCCTGGATCCTGTCCCTGGTCACCAGAGAGAGGAGATTAGGGCCTGTCCCTCCGCTTCCCATCACGAAGAAGTTGTAGATTGCCGCGCCGCCACGGCACGCACACCCAGCACCACCCGCTGCCTGCCGGCGCGGCCCCTTTAAATGCTAATGAGGCGGCGCGCGTGCCGCGCCGGCCCCCCGCTGACTGTGTTAAAACTTCGGCGGGGCCATTTTGGGGGCAGTAAGACCGAGCGTGGCCGAGCACCCAACAGCTCTGCCCGGCACTATGAGCGAGGCGCCGGAGACCGGTACCGCCAGCCCCGCGCCCGCCGCGCCGCCCGTCCCGGCCGCAGCTGCCGCGCCGCCCGCGCCTGCCGTCCCGGACGCCGCTCCCAAGAGCCCCGCCAGCGCCGCCGCGTCGGGTGCGGCTGTTGTTGAGGCTGCCCCCGGCGCCGCCGCCGCAGCCACAACCGCGGCGGCCGAGTCGGCGAAGAAGGTGCTGGGTGAGTACCGGGCCCTGCTCGTAACTTGGCGGCGTACCTGCGGCGGCGCCGGGGGTCCGCTGGCGGCCGCCGCCCGCAGCCCGGGCTGGCGCGCTCGCCCCTCCTCCGCGGTGAGTCAGGCCGGGCCGCCTCCTCCTCCCCGCGGGCCGGGGGAGCCGCGCGGCGCCGGCCGTGACGCGCTCGGAGCTGGGCGGGAGCCCGTGTGTGCCTTATCGGCCCGGAGTGTGCGGGCCAGCGAGTGGGGCACAGCTGGGCTCAGCCCCTTCCCAGCACGTGCCGGCGGCGTCTCCCCCGGAATGGGCTGCTGGACACCATGTGTGCCTCTCCTTAATGTTAAGGTCCTGGCACAACTTTTCTATCTATTAAGTATCTTGCTTTGGTAATGCTTCCAGGTTTAGTAGGATTTGTTTGTTTTGAGGTTTTTTTTGGAGGGGCGGGGTTCGGCTTCTACTTTACTGTTAGTAAGAAGGCAAACGAAATGTCATGTTGCCATCTCTGCTCAAGCCCGATGGGTAGCAAGTGTGACTCGTTTTCATTGCGATTAAATAGGATCAACCTGTTGAAAAGGACAGGACTTCAATCTGCAGGCTGCTGCCGATAGGGGTGTACTGTTTCTAACTGTGTAACTTTTGAGGGTTTGGTAAAGGCAAAGTTGAAGCTGACTTACAGTGTAGAGTCCCAAATTTCCTTAAGGATACATAGGACCTTCTCTTCTGAAGGGGAGAACTGAGGTCTTGCTGCAAGAAAGAGAAGCCAGGTAAAGGATTTCTCTGGAGTGGAGTTAGGAAGAATTGCAGTAGAGCTGAGATCGGAGGCACAGCTTATGCAATTCTTTTTTTTTTTTCCCCATTGCCTCATTTGTCAGTAATTAGTACACAGGAATCAACACATTCATATCTGCTGGTATATCTGGCTGCTTCTTGCCTTAATGTGGCTTGTTTCATTCCTGGTAATGCTTTTAGCTTGTTTGCCTATTCCTATTGCTTGGAGAGAAGGGGTGGGGGGAAGTGAAGGTAGAAGTACCTTTCCTGAACTAGCAGGAAAATGAAAACCACCGTGGTGATGGTTTTGCAAAATGGCCTTATTGCTAGGCAAGCTTTTTATTAGGAATGGTGAGGAAAGGGATCACTGTAAATACTAGTTGAAAATGGACTTAAAGTCCACCTTAAATGTCCCTATTAATGGTCGCCTCTGTAGTTAGGTTCCCTTAAGCCTTCTTTTACAAAGACTCTGTTAGAAGCAAAATCTTATGCTTGCTTGAGGCATCCAAATGTCTGACTTCTGAGCATATGGGTAAAGGTTACTCAGCTTTCTCTTTTCGCCTGGTCATAGGAAGCTTTGGCTCTCCTTGTTAAAAACCTATTTTGTTGTGGGTAGGAGTGGCTGGCAATTGCTTCCTCTGATAGTGTCAGAGGACAGCATCTTGTAGAAATATGTGGGCTTCCATTTGCTGGTGGGAAGTACGTCAGCACATCAACTGCCTTCTGTGACTCATCAGTTTAGTTGGTTACTATGTTTTCCTCTGGGCTTGTCCTCCTCCTTGCCAGACCTCCATGCTCAGGCTTACCAGTGACTGTGCCATGTATGTTCAGTGTCATGCTTTTGCCTGAGGTTCTTTTGGCCCACAGTGATACTTAGGGAGACTGTAAATGTCTGCAGGGAATAATATTTTGCTAGCATGCTGTTTTAGGGGGAATATATTGGAGTCACCTCCATGGAACAATGTTGTTTTTAAACTGTGTGCATACTTCTCCACTTAGCTGCAGCCAGCTGGCCAGAGAGTGAGTTTTGACTGCCTCTCCTTCCCTAGCCTCTTGACCCCTCTGAGGGTTTTTGTCATGTTTCTTGGGCTTCTTCCGCATCTTGTTCAAGTAGGCTAACAGATTCCAAAGCTATTTTGCAGGGGAAAGAAGGGATGATGTTGAGGGAAGCAGTGGTACTGGCATTGTTTCTCAAAGCAGGCTGAAACCTACAGGTACCATTGGTGTTATTTCTGTGTTCCCCCATCCCCTCCTGTTGACTTGTGTGAGTGTAGAGAGCTCTTGTAGCCAATGCCATTGTGGTAGCAGGAAGTGTCTATATGTGGTGATGTCCCGATGAAACTAAACCTAAAAGCACAGCTATAAATACTGGTGCTGAACACTGTTTACTGAACCAGTGTTTGGCACTGAAGGTATGCTTTTTCTGTTTCAGTAAACAAGAATTCTTGGGAATGCATGTTCTACTAGGCAGAGTCCTTTTTTCTAGGTAATATCTCAGTCATGTTAAGACTTCACTGCTTCTGAATAAGAACATTTTTTACTAAAAAGTGTATTAAAGAAGACCAAAAACTTCACTTCTAAAAGGGCAATGGGAAAGGCCTGTTATTGACAGTAATAACAGCAGCAGTGCTACAATGCACTACACTTGTCAGACGATGTTCTTACTTTAGGGGTGTGTGAGAATAGCAAGACTCCATGAGCCCAAAGGTCTGGCTGGCTCCGTCATCTCCTTGTGAATATTTAGAAAAGAATAGAGGTGTAGAGTAGATGGAGGTAACAATTTACAGTGTGTTCTTGCCTCTAGCAGAGTGATGTGGACTTCTAAACTGGAGATTCTCTAGTCTGTTTTCCTTTATATTTCCTCTTCAGTTCCTGCCACTCCCAAAACATGTATGTGAGGTTTTTAGCAAGCAGCTGTCTGTAGGTGACTAGACCCTTTTCAAGTAAGTACACGGGTTGCTTAAGTAGTTATAATCAAGCTGTGTTAACAAGTAACAGCTCTTAAGTTATAGAGGCTAGAACTCTCCTTTAACTAGGGGTTTGAAAAGTACAAGTTGGTGGTGTCCATCCAGTTGCTGTGAGGTAAGGAGAGGTTGAACTGCCTCCATCACTGTCGAGTTCCTCCTACACATTCCTACAAGTTGGAGAAACAGGTTTTGCCCGGTCCTGTAAGACAATGCCGTATGGCTTCTAAGTAGATGCTGGTTTCCTGTTGAGACAGGAGCTTGCCTTGATACTGAAAGTCATGGAAAGTGAAGTTGGTCACTTGTAGCTAAACAACTGATGCCTAGAGAGGCTAACCTGGAGCAGAGGCTAAACAGTGTTAAAGGATAAAGTAGGTATTTATTAAAAGGCCTTCGAAGGATACACTTTGGACAGTACAAGAGCCTGGCTGTGGCTCTACTCAAGATGTATGAACAGTCACGAGTTTTCACACTTTAATAAGTTTTGGTCTATTTGCATATTGGGACTAATTGTCCAATTAAAGCTTCAGGTTATGAAGTCACATCCTCCCACATTGCTCTCCTCAATTTGCTGTTGTTTGTGCTTTTTGGGCCGGAAGCTGTAACAGTGTCCTTGGTTCTCAGGCTGGAAAAGGATTGTTTTGTCTAATTCAACTGTGAAGAGGACTTGCTAACACTTTATATGAAGTTTAGAGTTAATGAGACAGTACAGAATCTGAAAACTGTGAAAGCTAAAACTTAAGGCATCGCAATTACACGTCATCTTAGCAGTAGAAGTACTTAAAAAAAAAAAAAAGTAGGGTCTTACTTGGTTAGTGTGATGCTGACAATGCAAGAAGGAGCTTTTCCAGAATAAGGATGTGCTGCCTTTCCGCTTGAGAGGGTTGCACAGTACTTCTTTGGGCAGTTCTGGTTTCCAAGGAAGAAAGAAGGGTAACTAAGTAAAAGGGGAATTGTAAAACATAGCTTCCTTCAGCTATGTTTCCATATCTAGCTACTAACCTGAAGAGAACTGGTGAACTGCAGTGGGATTTTCAGCTTTGCTGCCCATTTCTGGGATAGGAAATTAAAAAAAGGGATGGATGGTCTATTCTGGTATTAGAGGTAGGTTTTGTGCTGTATGGTAAACCAGTGACTGAAGAATAGTGTGTTAAAGCACTGTATCTTTTTACGGCTTTGGAATGAGTCTGGTTGCAACTTCATATGCTATTATAGAAGTATTTATGTAACATTATTGTACTTTCTTATATTTTAGATTAACTTCTTTAATTTTCTTTCCAGCCACCAAAGTTCTTGGCACAGTCAAGTGGTTCAATGTCAGAAATGGATATGGTTTTATCAACAGGTATGTTTAAATTCTGATAGTTGTATTTGTGCTGTACTAAGACTCGTAGTTCACAAGATAGGCCATGTGTTACTGATTGCAACAGAGACCTCAGGACCTGACTACAAGTTCATGCAGTTGCTAGTCAGCTTAGGCCAGGCACTCAGCAAAGTTTCTGAAGCACCTCAGCCCCTAATCAAAGGTTATGTGTATGGGGAGAAAACAGAGTCAAACTCTACAAATTTGGTCTGTTACCTGTTTCACATGTTGACTTCTACTAACTACACTCTTAATGAGCTGCATGTTCTTTAGTGACTGCCTGGCTTTTTTCAAAGGCCTGAGAAAGGTAGGAGGATGAGGGGAAATACTTTTGGGTAAACTTCAAGTGTTAGCTGCTTGGTCAGAATACCTCCTGTGGATGCTTATTGGGATTCTCTGATAGTATCTCACTGAAAATATGCGAGGCCTGGGTTTCATAGAAATTTTCTCTTTGTATCTTTTGGTTTTTTTCCCTCTTCTCTGGGCAGAAACAAATCTCTGAATAGCAATTAGAATCCAAACAGTTGTAGGCAAGATTGGTCATCTGTAACCTTAGGTGTAGAAGACCCACGCTTCCAATTTACTGGAGGAAACTCTGGCTTTTAAGGTTGAAATGTCTTTGTGGTTGAGAGGCTTAAATGTTGTGTGCTTTTTTGAGGAATGAAACTGGTGCATGCTGAACATTTGTCTACAAAAAAACATACCTGGCAAGTTATTTCACTCTGCAAGTCCTTGAGCTTTTACACATCAGGCATATTTGGGTGAGTTGGACAGCATAGAAAAGGGTAGAAGACCTCACGTTCATGGATCTGAAGCCAGTTGTGGTATTAATCTCAGTCTCTGGAGGTTATTATCCAGTGTTGCATAAGCTTTGAAGAAGAGTTTTAATTAGGAAGTCCTCTTAAAATCTGTAATAGCAGTTGATGTAAGAGCCTTCACCTGGTTGTGGTGTAATAACTTGTTAGCTTTCTTCCTAACATGAAGTTTACTATTGCTTCAATCCAGGACAACAAATTTGGGATTATGCTTTATTTTCACAAACTCTTTGACCCACCTGTTCCGTTTGCTGAGAAGGAATTGATAGCAGGGCTTAGGCTCTTTTTTATTGTATGGGAACACAGATTCAAGGTCTCAGACTTATCTCTGTGTTTTCTGTGTGGAAGTCTGAAGTGTCTGGCTTAATCCAGAAAACATCACATTCATGTCTGGGTCCTCCTCCTGTGGACTTTCCTAACAGCTCTTGTGCCTCTTTGCTTTGAATTTTACTGAAAGGAGATCTCTGTTAACAGCTGTGGCCAGTCCTGTTGATAGTTGTTTGACCTCTGGGGTAACAGCTCAGGTTGCAGTCCCTCCGGAAGTGTTTTTGTGGAGTTAGAGTAGTGAAAAACAAGCAGTCCAGTCATCAACTCTGCCCTGCGTAAAAAGAAAACACTGCATATTTGCCAGAAGATTACAGAGAATCTCCCCCGTCCTCTCATACTTTTGAAGGCCGGGATCCCTTTCTGTTCTCAAGCAAATGACCATAGAAGTTCAGAGCAGGGTTTTGGTAGCATAGGCTTAGACAGAATGTATGGAATTCAGGGCATGTGCTACAGGCTGGGAGAAGGAGGGTTTCACTTAAGAAGTCAGGAGTTTCTATTAAAGTCTCTTTAGTCTAAACTCTTATGACTTCTCACTTTCTTTTCACAGAAATGATACCAAAGAAGATGTATTTGTTCATCAGGTAAGACAGCAGGAGTTGTGCTTAGACATGTGTGCTGTGGTTGGTTTCTAATGCAGCTTCCTGGAACAGCTACACAACCTTGTCCTGGCTTCTCCTTAGAATATTTTCTGCAGATAACTTGAGTGGATGTATGTGTTGAAATTTTCAGGGAGAAATGTTAGGTTGTTTTCCTTCTCTATGAAGGGCTAGGTATTTTAACCCTTCTTAACCCTTTTTGTCTGCTCTAATTTGAACACTAAAGGTATTTTTTGGTGTGGATTTTGTTTGGTTGTCTCCCCTTGGTGAGATGGCTCCTCTGTGAATACCTAGCTGCAGCTGTCTGTCCTTGCCCTGTTTCCTCATGTTCCTTGTGCCTTTTGTTTCTTCCTACCCTCTTCACTTGCAGGTCTCTTCTGTCTGCCCTCCCTGGTATTTGAGAGAAAGTGATCTAGTCTGGCTCTTGACCAGCCTGGGTTGCCATCAGCTGTTTCTGCACAAAGCAGCTGCTCTTAGGCAGAAGAAGAGGAAGGCTGTGTGCCAAGTATGCCCAAGCAGAGAGAGCTTGCCCAGCAGCTTGTTATTGGTTAACTTTCCTTGAGCTGTCAGGAGGCTGTTCTAAGTTTATACTGTGACTCTCAGGTTGCAGGCAAAGAATGGAGACAGCATCCTCTGTCTTGCCATGCTGATGTCAAATGATTAGTTGGCTTAGATCTGGTTTTGCATAATTCACCAGAAAGTGCAATCTTGCCCCTAGAGTTTGTCCCATATTAAAATGTCTGCAGGCTCATGCGATCTTTGAAAGCATGAGCTTTCTCTGTGGTGTGACAGTATTTCTATCAAATGTAACCAGAAAGTTTGTTCCCAGAGCTGGTTACTGAGAATGAGAATGTGTGTATATCCTTAGCTGATGAGTCAACACTGAGAGTTAGTTTAGTTCTTGTGTCTTGATGACTAAATAGTGGTAACCGTGGTAACAGTGGTAACTGTTCTCTGGGTTATAGGGTGTACATCCATTATCTGAACCTGGCTGGAGCTGGAAGGGGATAAATCTAGTGCCTGTTATGAGAAAATTATGTTGGGAAGTGTGCACAGTACATATTCTTGGTTCAGCTGGTGGGCTTGAGAGCAAGAGCTGTCAATGCATGTACTGATTTTTGATGGTCATTTTCCTTCCTTAGCAGCCTGTGCTGTGGGCATGCTGACACATCTGTGGTCTGGTGGGATTGTGTCCAGAGGAGGGTGGGAACAATTCTGGAAGAGAACTACGTACTGGATAGGCTGCGCTGCCTTAAAGACAAATGAGGTTTCCTTGGTACTTGTGAGACAATATCCTGGAAGATGGCTGCTATGCTGATGACAGATAACATGGATCAATGTTATTCTGCTTGGGAGGGCTGCCAGCTGAGACCCAAACAGAAAGGTTGTGTTATCTGTGCTGTTTTGTCTCCTTCACCTGTAGAAGAGATTATTCCCCTAAGTGTAAACTGGTGGGTGTGTTTGGAGAGGGGTGGGCACTTCCCATCTCCTGTGGCTGAAGTCCTTTTGGTGAGCAAAACTTTGTTTCAGAAATACCACATCATGTGCAGACCTGCATTAGATTAACCCTGTTGGTAGGCTGAGCATGGCAGAGTAGAGGGCGTTCCTCATCCTGTACATGGATGTGCTCAGTCCCAGAGCCTGAGACATTCTGGCCAGAGCTCCTGATGAGGCTCTCTGAGGAGGATGGCAAATCCTTGCTGTGAGCAAACATCCTGCTTCAAGCTCCCTCTGCACTGATAGTGCCTGCTCTGCCCCTCCCTCGTGCCTGGGAGGGGCTGGATTACAACCCTAATCCTTTCAGAATAAGGCTGACCTAGTTGAATAGATACAGCTTCTCCCTGCCTCCCCTGCATGCATCTGCATGGGGAGGGAATGGGCCCGATCTCATGACTGGACTGAGGGTTAGTGCTTGGTGGCTGGCTACTGGTTGCTATTTATAACTAGTGCGGATTAAAATGTTTTTCTTTTTAGGGCATGCATGGCTTGCTTTGAGTTAACCCTTTGTCTTGCAGGGGCCCCAGGCAGTGTTTTTGGGAAGGGCAGTTCTTCACTTTGCATCCCTGTCTGGTTGGTTGGTGCAAGGTGCTGTCCAGGGCACTGTGTCAGTCAGCTACAGGTGCTGTGAGCAGAAGGTGTCCATCTACCTCGTGGCTGCAGTGTGTCTCACAATTTAACAACAGGAAAAGTGTCAGCAGGCAGAGCAGTTACATATAATTAGGTAGAGTTTAAATCAACGAGCTGTGAGGAGGAGTTAATCCCTTTCTCTTCACTTCACTGGGTTGTGTTGATCATGCACAGCCTGAAGTACCTGCACCAGGAATCAGTGTAACAAATTTTGGCTGTTACTGGGACACAATGCTGGATGTGCTGATGATGTAGTGGTATAAGCGTATGGAAAGAACTCTTTCAAACAGGAACCTGAACTAGCTCTGGAGGCTTTTCTGGTTGCCTGTTCATCAGGGTTCCCCCTGGGAAAGGAAAGGCTTTGTTGTTGAGTGTTGTCCATTAATATGAAACATCTGTCTTCTGAATCAGAAACTGGAGCCTGCAGGATGCTGCTAAACAGTAACAGGGACCATAGTGCTCTCTTCCCTCTGGATACACAGAGTAAAAGTCTTTTCATCAAGCTTAGAGCTTAGGCTTATTAGAGGCTTATTTCAGTGATGTTTATCTGCAGCTGAAGTAGTAAATCTTTAGGGTTTCTGCTTGGATTTCTAGGATTTATTCGAAGCTGTCCTGATTGCCTTTATAAAACAAGCTCCAGCTTACTGCAGCCTCTCACCTTCTGTTGGCAGTTGCAGATCTGGATTCCTGAAGTTTCTGCCCGTAAAGCTGGGAACAGAACATGTGGAATACTGTTGCTTTTGTCTTTCATTATGCTTTTGGAAGAATACTTGAGGAGCTTTATCTATCTTATGTGTACACTCTGCTGAAAAGAAATTTCTTAGTCCTTTCTTCTTCTGCACTAAAGGGGAAGGAGTTTGAAATACAGCTTCTTGACATCTCTGTCACATGCAAAGCAAAAGTATTAAAAGTTTTAGTCAGTTGTTTCAGTACAAATAGTACTAAATCATTAACTTTGCTGCAGATTAAGGGTTTTAGTACTAGTATATAAAATTTATGGAAAAGCAAACATTTTGATCTGATTTTTAGAAATGGGACAGTTACACT